ACGATAAGAAGGAAAATACCCAAATCGACAATAATGTCAGGGAAGGATTGATACAATTGTCAAGAGAGTATGTGGACACATGCGTATGACACGCCAAGATCTCAAAATCCAAAACCATAAACCCTCTCTCTACCGACCTAAACTAAACAATGTAGTAAGAGGCAGCCAATAAGAACATTAAGACGATCATCTGGAACATGGTCTAAATCTACAAGGATTGTTATCCTCTGCCCTTCATAAGATATCTAGCGTCTGTATGAACCTCCACGAGAGTTACTCTATTCTCCCTTACATATGTCATGGAGGTCGTACTCACAAAAGAGATCGAGATACCTTCCTTGACTAGTTACCATGGAAGCAAAACTAACAAAAGCTTGGTGGGTCCAAAGCCGATGCAATCACTCAAACCTAATCGAAGAAGAACGGTTAGACGACATATATCGAGGACAAGCCCACCAAAAGAAGATCAAAGGGTTTATGACAAAACAAGGTCAATCCCCATATTTACCATGAGGGGGAATTTAATGGTAAACAAATTGCTTCCGGTCTAAAAACACAAAATAGGAAAATGGGCGACAAATTGCGATTAAACGAGTTTTCTTGGGAAGAAATCTTACCCTCACTGACATGGATAAAAAAGTAACTTTGACACCCGGTCAATTCCGATACGGTGAAGAAGTATTATGCTTGAAGGGCATTGCTCATGACTCGCCAGGATGAAAACCCGCAAAGGGAATCCTGTGCAAAAGTTAGGGTCCACTCACCTCGCTAGGATACGTCCTAGGCAGAATTTAGAGGCTTTTCTTAAAAAAAAAAAAAAGAGAAGAAATAAAAATCCCCTAAGAGCAATGGTTGCCTTAGTCAAAAACCAAATGACGGCTAAGGTCACACCCTTCTAGAACCAAGCAGCCTTGTATAGTCTTCACTCCGGGCTCGAACATCTCAACTAAGGCAATTAGGAGAACCAGGGGGGCAGATATCATTAGAAATGATTGTTGTAGCCCATACAGTTTAGCCAACCTTGGCATGCCATTCTTCTAAATTTCATTTGTAATCCTTCTACAAAAATAATAAACCTTTTGTTTATACATGTTAATAAAATTTTCTTTCATTTCCTTTCTCTTGACCAAATTGTGGAAATGCCTCTTTATTGATGAATCATAAATATGCATAGAGTCATTTTGTCAAAGGTCAAATCATGCATCATAAACAGAGAAGCATTGAAAAAAAATGAAAAAAAAAATATTTGCTAGGAGATTCTTAGGAAAAAGATAGGGCAGCTTGCTAGATCGAAAACCCGCAAAGAGCGGTCTAGGCAAAAGTTAAGGCACTCGTAAAAAAGGAAAAATTCCGTTAAGATATCCTAGGCAAAAAATTAAGGCAGCCCGCTTGATCAAAAACCCCAAAAGGACGGTCTAGGCAAAAGATAGGGCTAATACAAAAAAATGAATAAAAAAGGAGCCCACCAGCATAATCATGAAAGTACAGTAGGAGAATGTCGGTCACTTTTCTAGATGCATTTCATAAAAGAATAGACTGCATTTAGGGCATTCACACACAAATAGTTGCACAATACGACTCTGTCAAAATAAAAAATAAAAATCTCTCCAAGTAAATAACAAAAAAAAAATTCATGCATATAAAGGAGACTAGCTCCATGTTTGTGATTAAAAAACAGGAAGCGCCAAAAACAAGTCTCCGAATAAAGCTCCCCTCAAGAAAATAGAGCAAGTCCTCAATAATCAATCGTCTCAAGCAGTACAAGAGCTTCCAAAGCCAAAGCTTCAACCATCTCCCTTCTACCCAATATAGAGAAGGAACATTAGAAAAGAAAAAGCCAACGGAAAGACTCAGTTATCCCCAATCAGATCCCTGCTTCCTCTAGAGGCAGAAAACAAAAAATATTACCCCAAGGCTCAACATTGCCACCACATGAGTCATCAAGCGTACTCAACCAAATATCCGCCACATTTCCTAATGGAAGAATAAAGGCGTCACATCCAAATCATCAAACAATCAAGGAATCCAAAACCTTCACAGGGTTCTAACCAAAAAAGAAAAAGAAGAAAACCCTTCATCTCCAACAGATGTCCGAAAGAAAGGGCCGCAAAAGAGTAGGCTGAATAAAAAATCCCCAAGTGGATCTCCCCAGAAAAGTCTACAAAAAGAAGGAATCGGAATTTCCCATCCCTCAATAGAATAAGAGTTTCACAAGGTTAGCTCGCATCAATATCAATCAAGGAGCCAAACTCCATCCCCAGAAAAGAAAAATTGAATCCCCAGGAAGTCGACTAATATCCTGGTGGATCACCAAAAAAGCTTCATCCCTAGCGGACCCCCCCAAAAGAAGGAAAAAACATGCGTGTATAAAAGAAACTAAAAAGTAAAAAGGAATACGCATTATCTTGAAAAAGTCAAATTTCAAATCGCGAAAAAATAGATAAATCGCGGAAAAAGGTGAAATCAAATAAAAATCCTAAACTTTTAGGTAATCAATAAAATCCCTAAGTGGGTCACCTCAGAAAAAGGGAAAATCAACGAAAAATAAGAAATCGGAAATTCCAACAACCACTCCCTGTAGAGTCGGTGCATGACCAAAAGCAGTAAGATGCCAACACATTTTTAGGTCCAAAACAAAGGACTCAGAACCAAATAAGGGTTTATACTCATCAGCCTTAGGATCAACTACTAGAAGTATCTTATAGTCTCAAGATTATCAAACAGCTAGAGCCTTACAAAAAGGGGTTCGAAACCAGATCAAGTCTTACAAAAGGGGATTGATCAAGAGGGTCTTACAAAAGGGGATTCCTCAAACCGGCAGAGTCTTACAAAAGGGGGCTCGCTGGCTTACAACCTGGTGGGGGTTCAAACTCACAAGAGCCTTACAAAAGGGGGTTCGAAACCAGATCAAGTCTTACAAAAGGGGACTAATCAAGAGGGTCTTACAAAAGGGGATTCCTCAAACCGACAGAGTCTTACAAAATGGGGCTCGTCGGCTTACAACCTGGTGGGGGTTCAAACTCACAAGAGCCTTACAAAAGGGGGTTCGAAACCAGATCAAGTCTTACAAAAGGGGACTGATCAAGAGGGTCTTACAAAAGAGGACTCCAACCAAGTCTTTCAGAAGAGGACTTCAAACCCGATGAGGGTTCATACCCATTAACCACACATCTATCATCTGGAGGGTCAGCTACCACGATAAAGGAGAATCTTGAAGACAGCACCATACTGCATTCATCGTCCAAAGGGGTCAGCTACTGCATCAAAGGAGCATCCCGGAGAATCACACTTAATGTCCAGAAGGTCGGTTACCACGACAAGGGAAGCAACCGAAGGACAACCGGGCAAGAGGGTTAACTCCTTCACCCTCCAGCCGATCTTTTTGGCAAGTTGAGCCAACAGTCGGCTAGTCAGGTGAAGTGGGGGGCAACTGTAGACCCCAAATCTTGCTCAACCTCAAAATAAAGAGCAGAAGACTTTCGTTTGAAGATGGGTAGGGCCGAAAAAGTCCCTAGGATTGATCAATAGGTCTCATACTAGAATAGGAAAGATTTTTGTACACGAAAAATAAGAATTTTCACCCAAAGGGTCGAGACCATTGTCTCGTTTGGCAAGACCATCGTCTCGCTGTTGGCTAAGGGCGAGACCGTCGTCTCGCTAAAGACGAGACCGTCATCTAGTTTGGCGAGACAGCCGTCTCGCCAATCGCCAAAGGCGAGACCGCCTTCCCATTTAGCGAGACCGCCGTCTTGCCACTTGCCAAAGGCGAGACCGTCGTCTCATTTGTTGAGATGACTATCTCGCCATTTGCCAAAGGTGAGACGACAGTCTCGAAAGTCGAGATGACGGTCCTGACCTTGTTAGACGAGACGACGGTCCCAACCTGACAAGTGTGAATTCCTATAAAAGGGGGGGACCTTCACCTCGTTTTCACAACCTTCTACAACTTCTCCAACTACATACTTCTCAAAATACTCTCCTAGGACCCCTCTGAAGATTTCCAGAGTTCTTAGGAAGCGTTCTAAAGTGCTTCGAGAGAAGAGTGAGTTGCATTGTAGAGTGTGGAATTTGTCAAAAAGTGTCATTTTCAAGAATATTTTATAAAAAACTTGCTTCAAAGATTCCCTCATATCCCTTATTCTATTTTATCCTTTTTAATAGTTACTATCTATGTGCATTAGTTATTCAGGGTCATGTAATCAATAAGTTAAATTTTGCAATGAATAAATAAGGGTAAAAAACATAGTTTTAATGTTCTTATTTCTTTATAAAAACAATCCATCATAGGGAACCGAAAAGGGTATCGTGGGGAAGTTAATATCTTTCCCACACGTAACTAACTCCTTTACATCACTCTAGTTGTAATGATCAAAGTTGGTTTTTCTTAAAAATCATTGTCTTTTTTTCCTTTTTCAATATTTTTGATAACAATATCAGACAACTTAAAAGCATTGAACCATTTCTTTAAAAGAATGCAAGTCATTAAAACCATCGCATCGCTCCGACGGCGGTGACAATAAGAAAAATCAAGAAAAAAAAAGAGAAACTCAAATCATGGATCCCGGCCTTGGGTTGAACCTCCACAGGGAAGCTGGCTCACGGCTTCTCGTTCGAGCAGGGGACTCGGTGCTGCTCTGAGGGCGCCACTCACAGTAGCTGCGGCGCAAGTGGAACGCGTCAGGGCCAAGATCCACGGTGGTCACAATTCTGGTTGAAAGCATGAGCCGCGATGGCTCATGGGGTTCGCGATTGGCCAGGGATTTGGTGAGCGATTTGGTGAAGGAGAAAAGGGATTTTGTGGGTTGAGTGCGGCACGGAGAGGGTGAGACCATAGAGAAGGCGGCTAGGGTGAGGTCGCAACTATGTGGGTGAAGGGAGGCGTGGAGGTAATGTGTTAGGGAGAAGTGGAGAAGCGGTGGCGATTCAAGGAGGCTAGCTGTCGCGGCTAGATCAATGGTATGGGTGAGGCGAATGGTAGTGGAGGGGATGGAGAAAGGATTTTAAGGGTGAAGGTGGTCACGGAAGCGGTTAGGGCTGGTGCTGGGTGTGGGCTGCAATGGGGGTGGCGCTATTGAGGTTAGAAGTGATTGGCAAGGTGCGGGTGGCATGCTAAGGATTAAAGGGAAAAGGCGAAGTGAAGGTGTACGGAGAGCGGGGCTACTGAGGTGATTTTTGTGAGGGAGGATGAAGGTAATGGTCGTTGGTCGTATGGGAGGCCTTTGGTGGCTTCCACGGTTAGTGAAGAATAAGGAGAAGAAGCGGGTGTCACTACTGGGATGAGAGTGAGGTTGGCCATAGGTGAGTGAGAGGGCAGAGGGAATTGAGGTTAAAGGTGGGGGGAGAAGGGTGGGCTCGCGTGAGATGAAATAGAGGAGGCTAGAGGGGGAGTGAGGGTTGGAGAGTGGGGGCCTCACAGGGGTGGATGAGGGAAGGTACGTCGTGGGTGGGAGGGAGAGAAACCGAACAACTCCCATTTATAAAATAAAAATTAGGGTAGATTATTTGATGGGCTAGGTCCAAAACAAAATTTTGCCCTTTTAAATTTTTCCTAAAACTACTACTTAATTTTCCTTTTTGTTTTTGTAAAGAAAATTATTTTTCATTTTTCTTTTCTTAAATATTGTAGAATGTTACTAAAGCAACTTATTATTATATCATCTTTTTTTTCTTTTTATTTTAAAGTGTTTAAAAGACCATTTTTTTTTTCCATATTTCCCAAAGCTAATATTTATTATTACTATTTTATTTTTATATACCCAAACGAAATTGAGTGCTGACAACTTTCTTAATTAATTTGGAGTCTCGTATGCAGATTCAATGTATCTGTCTCAATTGTTCACCTTCTAAGGTACACCACTCGAATTTACGAAAAAATATATATTATTACTTCCTTTTTACTCTAGTCAGGATTTGAACTCACAACCCCCAAGACTCAAGTATTACTCCAAACCATAACAATCATCATATGTTTCTTGTCAATCCATACACATAACAAAAAATCCAATGTACCCACACACACAATGCATAAAAGAAAACAACCATCAATCAATAATTTCTAAACGTGGCAATTAAAATTTGCTAAGTCCCTAAGCATACTTGTCGCCACCGTCCTCCCCACGCTGATAGGCACAGGGAAACGATAAATGCGAGCGGTCATGACGCTATAGTTTGTGACTCACGTTTTTTGTAAAAAATGTGGTCATCGCTCTTAGGGTGTTCGATAACCGAACTACCCTTAAAAGCAAAGTTTACGTAAAAGGGTTCTGGAGTCGCCACCAATGTTTTTACCATAAACATTGAAAAAGGAAAATAAAAAAGGCGTTGGTTTTAAGAAAACCAACTTTGGCCATTACAACTAGAGTTGAGTAAGGGAGTTAGTTACGTGTGGGGAAGATCAATATCGTATTTGGTCAAATAAAAATAGAAACAGAAAATAAAAATAGAAACAAAAAATAAAAATTGAAAACCTAGACAGAAATCTTAGTCCCCGGCAACGGCACCAAATTTGATCGATGTCGTACTGGGTCAAATAATTAAAACAGATAAATTTAGTACTAGGAAGTTTTCCTAGGTCATCTCCCAAAGACTACGAATTTCTATCAAAGCTTGTCAATTTTTCGAATTGAAACAAAAATAAAAAGAGGATTTTTCAAATTTAAAATATTAGATGAACCAAAACAAAAACAAATTATAAAAATATGGATTAAAAACATATTAGAATGCAATTGATTTCCTGATTCCATGCAGTGTCACTTATCCTAGGTTACGAAATTAGTTCGAAATTAACCAACTAAGTGAAGATAAATCCCAAATTATATTCCAATTTGAAATTAATCAACTAAGCGAAGATTACTCCCAAATTAGCTTTAACCCTTATTCCAATATGAAATTAACCAACTAAGCAAAGATTAACCACAAATTATCTTTATACAATTAAGTATTGCATACATCACATAATCTCATCTCTAACACAGAATTAAGCAAATTGTGATATTATTTTCGTTTTATTAAGCATAAATATATTATAATTCAACACTAAGATTAAGATATGAAGAGTTAAGAGAACAAACAAAATAGAAGAACAAAACCTCAAAGATCTACTGTATTCTTCTCAGAAAATCAATACAAAGATTTAGCTATTCATGAAAAATTGAAAACGTAGAAGAAGAGACATAATTTAAATCGAAACAAGAATCTAAAATAATGAAAGAAGAGTAAACAAACTTGAATACAAAATATAGAAGATGAAAGGCAGTTGCATGGCTGCTGCGTGATGTCCTCCCCTCTCAACCCTACATCTCGTTTATATAAATAACCCTAACCCTAATCTTAATCTAGGTTTGGGCCCAACTGGTCCACAAAACACATCATAAGTTGGCTTCAGTGCAGATCTGCAAACTTCAAATACGTGCAGTATTTTCAATACTTATCCAAATTAAATGATTCTAGTCTCCTTTGAAATATTTTTTAGTTAGCTTTAAAACGCCACTGTTTATACTATTTTTGGAGGTCTAATAAATTTAGGAGACTTAAATTTCTAAAGCATGTCCATTGGGGCGGCCTGGTGTGCTTGACCCATTTTGGATAATTTATTTAAAATCCAATTTAGCTTCAAATTGAATTATTCTGGATCTTCTGCACAACTGAATGTGTCTAATTTATAATTCTTTCAGAATCATGATTTTTGGACCTTTGTAGAAAAAATGATAAATAAAACAATGAACCAATGTCAGTTCCCGTATACAATAAAATAAGACATTTGGCCCAATTTTCCAAGCCCAAAATTTCTTTAAACTGTAATATGGCATCTAACTCAATCTTCTAAACCCAAAATTTCTTTAAATTGTCCTAAAAATAATAATGAGGAAAAATTAGATAAAATAGATTCAAATTAATTAAAATCTGAATTATTGGCCCAATGAAGCCCGATTAATAAAAATTCACTAATAACATAAAGTTAAGCTCAAAACACTAATTAAAATAAGTTCAAAAAGGGAAGAAAATATGGAAATATAATGACTCATCAAATAACCCCACACTTAGCCTTTTGCACTCCTTGGCAAAATAAAGAAACAAAGCAAGGAAATAAATCCAAAAATATTAAAGAAAATCATGCAAAGGATAGAAACAAAGACAAAAACAACGACAAACAAAAACATAAACAGAATTACATACTCCTTAATAAAACCTGGGAATCGGAAGGGATAGACAACCTCCAACACTCAAAGAGTAAAAAAAACTAGACATATGTGGACATCGTCCAAACAATTCAAAACATGTCAATAAAATCAATCTGCTCAAGAGGTTAATGAAAAACAAAAAAACCTCACAAGATATGGACTGTATCACTCAAGAGTTTAGGCTACTATTTACTCTCAAAGCATCCATGAGAAACAAGCATCACATAGACTTGGCAAGCCTCTAAAATCAACAACCAAAAACGCATGTACATAAAGATCAAAAAGACTTTCAAAGGTTGTAATGGGGCTAAGGATAAGGTATGAAATGTATGGACAAGTAGGTTAAAGACCAAAGAAAATAGAGGAGTAATGGGGAATGAGTCAAAAATACACATGAAAGTAAATCCACCAATTTCAATCCTAACACAATGTCTAAACATATATTCTTTTTGCTTTCTTTATATATATATATATATATATATATATATATATATATATAATCTTTCTTTTCTTTTCTTTTCTCTTTTTTTTTAAGAATAAAAAACAAAAGAAAACGAGATAGCCACAATTGAAGAATCCAAGAACCAGCACAACTAGTTACAACCCTCCACTTTTTGAGCACCCATTCCCAAAACAATTCCAAAGCTCCAAAATTTCCTAAGGTAGGGTAATCATGGTTTTTCAGGCTAAGGGCTTATAATATGAGCTATAAAACAATGAAAAAGGGTCATTGGCTTAAAGGGGCTATCAAAGGGAATGATTTAAGATATGCTCATTTGGCTAGAGGCTTATAAGAACAAAAATGTCTAAATCATCTCCAACATGCATGTGAATCAAGAAGCATCAAAAAGAGTCAAACCAAGGTCACTGTGCAAGCAATCAAGAGACATAACACACAAGAAAGAAAGAATAGAGAGTGGCTCAAAACCTCACACAGGGTAAATCTGTCACTTCCAAATCTGTTAGAAATGTAGGCTGAGATCAAGAGGGGGTGAATTGATCTTTGAAAGATTTTCGCAATTTACAGATTATCTATTTCAAAGATTAAGAAATCTGACCAGTTCTTGAATCACACACAGCAAGCAATCAAAATAAAAGCAGTGACAGAATTAAAAGAGAGAAAAGTTTAGAAAGATACAACCAAGATTTATATTGGTTCACCCAATCCCAGGGCTACGTCCAGCTTCCAGCCAAATTCCAGCTGAGTTCTACTAGATTGAATGTTTTACAGATTACAACTTTAATCTCACACTTAATCTACCACAAGAACCAAAATTCCAGTCCCAGCACCTAAACCTTCACCAAGAACCAAATTCCAGTTCTTGATCAACCCTGCAGCCAAATTCTAGCCACAGAAACTAGTGCCCACAATTCCAGGCACCCACAATAGAGTAAAGAAAGTAAAGAAACAAATAGAAGAAACTTAGAATGCTCAAACCAGATTTATGAAGCTCTGCAGTATGAGTTTCTTCTCCAAAAGAATGCAATTTTGCCTCAAGAAAGAACTTCTATGAACTTCACAAAACTAGCGTGATTCTCTCTTGAAAGTAGCACTAATGATTGCTTGATTGATTGCTAAAAGATGTGTCTTAAAAGGTTCAAGCAATACTGTTTATATAGAAGATTTTCAAAACTGCTGGTTTATTTAATCTGTTAAAATAATCTTTTAATCTGTTAAAAGTCTTGTTTTAATCTGTTAAAACTTCTTTTAATCTGTTAAAAAGTTCTTGATTATTTTCCAGATTTGTTTTAACCGATACTGACACTGTTTATATCAATTAAAACTCTTTGTAAAAAATCTTCCAAACTGTTTTAATCGATTGTTTCGATCTTTCAATCGATTAAAATACTGCAAAACATTCTTATAAACTTTTCTAAGTGATTTTAATCGATAACAATATGTTTTAATCGATTAAAACACTTTTAAAAAGTTCACTTAGTTATTTTAATCGATTGAAACGCATTTTAACCGATTATAATTCTGCCAAAAGATTTCATAAAACTTTCTAAGTTATTTTAACTGATAGCAAGCTTGTTTTAATCGATTAAAAAATTCTGGAAAAACCTCTTAGTTGTTTTAATCGATTATTTCGCATTTGTATCGATTAAAATACTCGATGAACAACTTTCAAAACACTTCAAGTTATTTCAATCGATTATTTCGAGTTTGTATCGATTAAAATTCTGCAGAACACTTTTCAAAATATTCTAAGTATTTTAATCGATTATATCGGTTAAAATACTTGATGAAGGTTTTCAAAAATCCTTCTAATGAAAACAATCGATTATATCGA